GGGTCCTCCGGAGGACCCGGCCTGTCGTTTTGGACACAGGCTATATCCACCCTGAAGGTTAATCTTGGACAATATCTGATGATCGACTCTTTTAAATGAAACCAGAGAGCGTTGACAGAGAGGAGAAGGTAGAAATGACTCAGCCTGGAACTGAAAATATGGATGGAGGACAACAGAGCTGCTTCATGGAAGAAGAACCTCAGCTTAGCCTGTTAGCCTTTGCGCTAGCGCCGACAATATATTGCCTTATTTGTATTAGCTTAGCGCTAGCGTGACAAGCAATCTAAACTGAGGACCTCCATCCATATTTTCAGTTACAGGCTGAGTCATTTCTACCTTCTCCTCTGTCAACGCTCTCTGGTTTCATTTCAAAGAGTCGATCATCAGATATTGTCCAAGATTAACCTTCAGGGTGGATATAGCTCGCTAGCAGCCTCGCACCGAGGACCTCTCCACGTCATCATTTACCCAGAATGCTTTGCGTGTAAATGAAATGGCTCCGTCCGTCTAATATATTTTTAAACTTTTAGTTTAAAAATGACAAAAACTGAACATCCTGCTGTATTTTTACAGTCTTTATTTTACAGTTAAAATATATGTTTATCAAATAAAGTCTAATGTTGCAACTAATCAGGGATCCGTTTAAGGAAAACATGCCTTTATKCAGGATATTTATCAGAGGTGGGGTWAAAACACGTTACATGCACACCTGATGACGTCCTCTGCTGGTTGTTGGTCCACAGGATGGTTTTACTCCGCTGGCGGTGGCGCTGCAGCAGGGCCACGATCAGGTGGTCTCCCTGCTGCTGGAGAACGACACGAAGGGRAAAGTTCGCCTCCCAGCGCTGCACATCGCCGCACGGAAAGACGACACCAAGGCCGCCGCCCTCCTCCTCCAGAGCGACCACAATGCCGACGTGGAGTCAAAGGTAGGATGTTTCTGCCCTCGCCGTCCGTACGCTCTGTGTGAGACACGGTGTGAGTCGCTTTTTGTTTTTCAGACCTACACGTCCTCGTGTCTTCTCTCCCATAAGCCATAATCCCTTTTTAAGACTCACAGTTTCTATTTGGAAGGAACTTTTTTTTGTTTCTTCACTTTTTGAAAACACTATTTCCCAGTAAAAATCCACCTGCAGCTATTTGCTAACTCATGATGATTCGTTTGAAGTAGAACTCATTATCAGCTTTAAGCATAAAGATTTGTCCCAGGATGATTTAATAGGAAAAACACTGAAGTCTTGAGCACATTTTCTAATAAAAGGACAGTTAACTTCATAATTTAGGTCTCATTCTAAAAATGAACCAGAGCAGTTTCTGTTTTAAGTTGTTTTGTTTCYTTTTGTTTCTTTTTATTTCTTTGTCCTCATTGTCCCACATCCATCTGACAGCTTGGTGCAGCCATGTCGGTGTTGCTGTACTTCTCGTTGTGGTGCACTAACCACCCCCCATTCTCTCCTCCTCTGCACCTTTACCTCCCTCGATTTGTTCCTGCTCCCCTTCCTCTCCCTCCCCGTTTTTTTCTTTTCCCTCTCTAGATGATGGTGAATAGGACAACAGAGGTACATCTTCTCTAAGTTTCTTTCTTTTCCTTCTTTCCCTCTCCTCACTCATGCTCACCCACTGCAAAGCTTTCTGKCTGCTAGCATGAACGCTAAATGCTGGCATGAATGCTTTTGCATCCCACCTGTGTGCCCGTTTTCAAGCCTGCATCACATGTAGACGTTGCTTTGTGTGAATGCAGCGGCTTCCTGCTGAAAGAATGGGAATTTCCGTTATGCTGAGTTGTTTTAGGTTGATTTATTTCAGTTTATTTTTATTTTTGTTCCACAAAGGCTAGTAGTTATGTAATTTAAAGCTGCCTATTTGTGACCTATATTTATGTTACGGTCCATGTTTGATGCAACACATCGCTGAGATACAAGTTATAAAGCTAATTAATTATTGAGTTAGGTGTTTAATTCTGGTTCAAATGCATTTGATGCAACATAAATTTAATGAATTTTAAAATCTGTTTTAACCTGATTAAATATGTTTCCATGTAAATATAATGGAAATTAGTTTTAGAGATTTTTCTCTTGCCCCTCCCACCTGRTTCTTTTATAGTTGTGTTTATTTACAAAAGCCCTAAGACACCATCATCAACCACTGTATTATTKTTTAATGCYTTTTRATTATTCTGGTACAATGAAGCCATKTTGATGTCCTGAAAGTTTTAGATTACTTGTTATTAAGCTGATTCCTTAATTGCTCTTTTTCCATCCAGRTTAGCTTTTAACCATATAGAGCAATATAGATATATAATAATAWAGAGGCATGTTTTACTGGTTTCTGGAAACTGATGGAAACATTTCACCAAAGAGAATTCAAACAATTTAAAAATCACATCACAAGTGACCTGAATTGACTGGATTTCATTTGACAGCAGCCTCACAGGGTAGTTCAGATGTTCGGAAATGGGATTCTCGGACTTTAATATCTTACTTACTTGTTGTAAATCGCTTTTTGAATAACTAGTTTAATGTGAATTAAATAACAAGCTAACAGCTAAATKGAATGAGGCTAAGATCAAATTGGCTTGCTGCCATTTTATCACAACTTCACTTTTAAGTCATAATAKCATCGTAAAATATAATTTATATAGAAAGTTGTGGTTAGCTGTAAGTATAAACAGCAGCAGCACTATCAGTAGCACTTCCTGTGCAGCTTGGGGCACTTTAAGCAATCGTTATGTGATATTTTTGTTGTTTTAACTGTATAATGTGAAATTTAGAATAATGTAAATGTTTATAAATATGTATTTTGCAGAACTTTAGTGAAATTTTTCAAACTGGAGTTGTTTTAAAACAGAAACTGTCCATTTTGGTCCTGCTCAGACTAGCTGTTAGCTCATTTGTTTAGTCCAAAGTTTAGGTTGTTTATCTGCAACAGGTAAGATATTGATAGAAGTTGTTTTTCAATGGAACCCAATTGTGAACGATATGAACTATCTCTTTAAGGGGCTTGTTTGTTTATATTGTACGTTTATTTCCCCCACCCCCATAACCCTACGCACTGTGTTTGTGCTATGATTGTCTTGTTGGTTCTAAATTGACACTGAGTGTAGGAGGTCCACCTGCTGTAAAGACAATWTCAGTTCCCAAAAACCTAAAATTTGCTCTTTTCTTCTTCTGCTCCATTACTGTTATGGTAAAGAACAAAAGAAATTGGTGAGAGGATGTCATTCATTCATGAACGTCTGCTGGTCACTGGTCCCAGCATCTTTGTTTTTATTGCTTTAGATTAGAATAGTTTACTAAAAAGTATCCCTGAGTTTAACAGCTCTGCCAGTAAAAAGTAGAGTTTAACTTTCATTTTTTCCCGCATGTTTCTGTTCTGCTCAGCTCGGGTTGCTCTGTAGGCCTCCTTTTGTCCAGCTCCTGTTCTCTGCAAAGTCCCATCATGCTTTGCTCGTGGCTCATAATGAAACAGGTTTTCTTCTAATCTTTTTTGTAAATAAATGTTCTCTTCCTCCTTCTGTGTGTCCGTCTTGTCCCTCTCAGAGCGGCTTTACTCCTCTCCATATTGCTGCTCACTACGGCAACATCAACGTGGCGACGCTGCTGCTCAACAGAGGGGCGGCCGTGGACTTCAAGGCGAGGGTAGGTACTTTGCTTTCTGTGCGGTGTGTGATTCTCCGGCTGCTCTGTCCCCTCGCAGCTTTCATGCAACTATTCCTGTGCTTCTCCATGTTGCAGACTGTAGGCAGACTGTAGGCATGTAAGGTGGACTAGTCGAGAACTGATCCTGCAGGATTGTGTGTCCTGTAGAACTCAGCTTGGTTGGTTTTGAACTGCAAAACATTTATCTGTAATCAACCACTAAAATAKATGAGCCACCATCGAACCAAGGATTAAGTCAAAAAGTGGTAGGTGGAGAAATATGTAGATGCAGTGTGTTGGTTAAAACATTTTCAACAATTGCATTTTGTCRAAATATAATGAGTAAATACCTCATCTGGGGGTCATTTGAATGAAATATCTGGAATATAATCTGGAAAAAAAATTGAAGCCCTTCATTAATGAGTAGTTTTAGCCACATTGCACTGGTTGCTCCTACATTTTGGGATTCGTTTTAAAGTATTTATTTGATTTTAAGGCATCCAATGGTCTTGCCCAGCTATACCTAACTGATATGTTTCGCCCTTATACCCCCTGCTGTTCTCTCAGGTCAGCAGACCAGCTCCTCCTGAGCATCCCAAAAACCAAACGTAGGTTTGAAGGGATCGTACTTTTCCTGTTGCTGCGCCTAAAATGTGGACCAACCTACCGTTTCCTTGTCAGCTTTCAAATCACTTCTTAGGCACCATCTGAGATGTTGACTTTTAGTTTGATTTGATTATTTTAATTGATTTTATGTAAATAAAGTTGGTATGGTATGATTTCCAACTGGTAAATCTTAATATCCAAATAATGTTTGAGGTTTCCTCTTTAAGATGACGTAAAAAAAATTCCTCATTAGAATAACCCAAAAATAGGGTTCAGATCAAAAATCAATGGGTTATCATGATTAGGAAGGCAAATCAAGGCATATAACTGGAACCGCTCATGATATCAGGATGATCCAAGTATATAAATGTAGCTCAAAAAGGAAATCTGAAAATGTGCTCAGGTCATTTTGACCAGATTTGGCTTAATCCTCAGTTTGATGTGAGGGGTCACATATAGGTTTTAGCAKTGTTGCACTTTCTGGGCTATAAATTTAACCAACAGTTTAGTATTTCATCCTGCTTTTAAACATTTAAAGGGGGAAGTTGATGGTGTAGGATGTGGAATTTTAGATTAAGAGATAGATATTAATGTTTTGTTTATTGTGTGATATCAAATTTCTGGTCACA